TAAGTGAAGCTAGACACAAAAGGACAAACATTATATGATTCCATTTGCATGAAATGCCCAGTATAGGCAAATCCATCGAGAGAGAAAGCAGTTTAGCGGTGCCAGTGCCTGGGGACGGGGAGTGACTGTTAATGGGCGTGAAGTTTATTTTGGGGATGATGAAAATGTTTTGGAATTACATAGCAGTGACGGTTGCACAACTCCCCGAATATCTAAAAACCACTAAATTCTATGGCATGTGAGTTAAATCACAATGAAACTGTTATTTTAAAAAAGGACCCTTAGCCTGCCAGCTGGAGTGTGCTCTGACCGTGGACCAGTAAACGAGGTGGGCTGTGCGGGGAGTGCAACGCTTGTGAGCCTTGCCTATAAATCGGATTAAGCCGCTTCCTTCCCTCAGCTGCGCAGCGTTCTGCAGCGGCTGCAGCAGCCACAGGCTGTCTCTGAACACCACCACTGTGATGAAGGGGCTGCTGAGGGCGCTGCGGCCCAGAGTGTGAGCAGCATGAGGCCAGCCTCACCCGGCTAGCCCAGCTTGCAGCCACATGGGAAGAATCAGCGCTCAGGAGCATGCCCTGCCTCGGTCTCAACACTGATGGGGATCAGGTTTTCCAAACCAGACATCAGAACTGATTGGATGGTTTGTACTCATGGGCACAGTGAGATACACCATTTTAAGTGGGATCGGTCAAAAACGTGGGCAGGCCTGTTTCCTCTTTCCTTGGGGCATCAGCTGGAACCTTGCGGGGAAGCGTGATGTGGCAGAAACCCTGACCGGTCTCTTCACTCTCCCAGCACACCTATGTGTGCACACAGGACGGCCATCCCCTGCTGCAGACCACGCATGGGGCAGTCGCACGTGGGAGAGCTGCTCAGAGTTATCTAAAATGACTGCATCTGGTCACTTCCACTGAGGGAGGGGCTCATGCCTGCAGGGGAGCCTTGATCTGATACAGGAACAGGGTTCAGGAGAACTCAGGACTTCCTTCATACCCAGGACAGTCCTTCACAAAGATGCCACAAAGTTTCCACTGTCCTCCACCGCTGCCCCGGACCCAGCCCCCACCATCTCATACCTGGATGAATCCAACAGCCACCGAACTGGTCTTTCCACCTCTACCCTTGCTCTCTCCCTTCCTTAAGTCTCTTCTCAAATCAGCAGGCATTGCTTTCAAAACGCAAGTAAGTAATGTCACTCTTCCGCTCAGCCCTCTGCCATGGCTCCCATCACTCAGAGTAAAAGCCGAAGTCCTTACAGTGGCCCACAAGGCCCTGTGTGATATGCAAACTCCTCTCCACGCAGATAGAACATTCAAGGATCCAAGCAGCAAATAGGCCAGGATGCAGCTGGAACTAGAACTCTGTGGAACAGCTTATCAGCAGACCACATTCAGCTGCGGAAACAGAATGGCGGCTGCTCAAGGGCAGGGATGGGGGCTGCTTTGTTTCCTAATGAGTCCACGCTTGGCACATGGTCATTGCTCCGTAGATAGTTATTGAATGAATAGGAAGGATAAACACACTAAGTTTGGAATGAGAAACCCCAAGTTTCAATAACAATCATTTTCTTCAATGCTCACTCATTTTGTAGCTTAATTTTCATAGCCATTACAAAACACATTAGTAAAAAGTCAAACAATGAGAAACCCCGATGTGAACAGGGGCTCTGGGGAGCAGAAATGCCATTTCCTAGTTTCTGCCTGCACCCGTGCCTGCCACACAGGCTGAGCTGCGGACCCTGCTTTCTACTGAGCACAATAAAAACCTCCAATGTCACAATCTACTGTGCAGCTTCAAAGTCTTCAACAATTATGATTGCTATGTGGTCTAATTCCTGAATGTATTTGCCCCAATTTGATAATGAATCAGAATGAAGAAAGTAAACTTTGGCTATAATCAACTCATACCTGTTTAAGGCCTTGGGAGGGAAATGGGAGAAAACTTTCACAGATCCATGATGGTCGCTGGCTTCATTTTTTTCAGATAACTTTTCTTCCCCAAACCTGATCAACACTGGGAATTGGCTGTCTGCAACCAATCAGACTGATTGCAGGCTGAGTCTTCATTGCACCTTTGGAACTTCACCTTAGCCTCTGATTGGTTGCTTTTTGCAACCAATGTGGTTTTGTGATTTGCTACATGATCTGGAAAAGAGGCCATCCACAAGCCTGCTTCATTCAATCCAATTCTACAAATGTTTGTTGAGTGCTTGCTTCTTATCAGATCGATTGTGGCCACCACTTCATTTCCATGAGGTGAGCGTGAAGTGGCCAATGGGAAAGCCGTAGGGGGCATTTGGACCGAGAAGATTCTATATCCCGGCCCTTGAGCTGCCGCTCAGGCCCGCTCCCACACTGTGGAGTGTACTTTCATTTTCATTAAATCACTGCTTTCATCCTTTCATTGCTTCATTCTTTCTTTGCTTTGCTGTGCATTTTGTCCAATTTTTTGGTCAAAACACCAAGAACCTGGCCAACTTGCAGTCAAGACCCTCTGCCGGTAACTCTTTGACTTGTGGATTTCCCCCAACCAAACAGCCAGATATACAAAAGAAGAGGGGGCAGCAGGGGTTCTCTCCTCCCGGTGCACTCTTGCCTTTATTTCTTGAGTTTCTTAGGGCCTGCCTTGCGACTAGGAAGACACGTAGCAGTTCCTGCCCATCACCAGGGAAGACACTGAGCTCTTCAGAGAGGCCCCCGGCTTCCAGAAGTCCCTCTCTGTCCCTAACTTAAATCTCTTCTCTGGCCATTAAGCACAATTCCCTCTTGCCCTGTCATCACCGGAGAAGAAAGAACAACTGCTCACCATTCCCCTCGGCTCACTGCAACCTCTGCCACCTGGGTTCAAGCCAGCCTCCTGAATAGCTGGGATTACAGTTACCTACCACCATGGCCAGCTAATTTTTGTATTTTTAATAGAGACGGGGTTTCCCCATGCTGGCCAGGCTTGTCTTGAACTCCTGACCTCAGGTGATCCCCCTGACTCAGCCACCCGAAGTGTTGGGATTACAAGCCTGAGCCACCTAGCCAGGCCCTTTTAATAATTCTTAATGGGCTTCTAAACAGTTATTAAGTCCCCCTTCAGCCTTCTTAAAGCCTCATTTTACTTGCATTGAAGCTGAGAGCTTCTGAAGAAAGCATTTGACTCCAGGCCTCACAGATTTGCAATGTCTTAAATAGGCAATCAGCCACTTCACTTGCTTTAACCTGCATCAACGAACAGTTCTGTCTTCTCTCGCAAAGTTTAAATCCATTCAAGGGAGTTTCCTGGCAACCAGCCCTTATTAATAAATCAAGCCCAATCTAGGCCAGGACAGGGCATCTTGCAAATACTTCTTTTGCTTGAGAAGGGACACTGGCTCTAGGCACACAGTAAACAAGCTGCTTCTCTCTCTGAAGCTCTGTATTCACTGGATGGATCCCGTCTGTCTCCCACAGGCCCTGGGGGGCCTGGTAGGCTCTCACCTGACTCTCCACAATTGGGAAGGGAGTGCTGCCCTAATGAGCTCTCACCTGGACCTTCCTTGGGGTTACTGGACTAGGGTCACAGCAGCTGGGCAGCAGGGCACAGAGCTCAAGTAAGGCTTGCTCAGGCTCTGCTAGGCACACATTGGAAAGTTTCACTTCCTATTCCACCATAATACCATTTATTCCCAGTTCATTGCTCATGCCTGCAGGTGGAAGTCTGAGTTGTGTGTCTAGACGGAGCTTCTAGTATGTCCCACCCAGAGTCCTGCGGTTCCTTCCAGTCACAGGAAAGGGAAGGAGCAAGGCGGGTCGGTTGTAAGGCTGGTGGTGCTTCAGCTTTGAGGAAAAAGTGATTTCACTTCAATAGTAATTCTAACTAGAATGGATAAAATTGAAAGGGCTGACAATCCCAAGTGTTGATAAGGATACAGAGCAGCTGCAACGCTCAGTGTTTGCTGCTGGAGTGGGAATCAGAGCCACCACTTTGGAACCATCCAGCAATTGCTCCAACAATCCCACTCCCAGGTATATGAGCAAAAACGTGAGTGTTTATGTTCACCAAAAGACATGTAGAAGAAAGTTCATAGTGTTGTAATTCACTTTTTTTTTTGAGATGTAGTCTTGCTCTGTCACCCAGGCTAGAGTGCAGCGGCATGATCTCAACTCACTGCAACCTTTGCCTCTTGGGTTCAAGCAATTCTCCCTGCCTCAGCCTCCCAAGTAGCTAGGATTATAGATGCCCACCATCACACCCAGCTAATTTTCGGATTTTTTAGTAGAGAGGAGGTTTTGCCATATAGGCCAGGCTGGTCTTAAACTCGTGACCTCAGGTGATCCACCCACCTTGCCCTCCCAAAGTGCTGGGAATACAGGTGTGAGCCACCATGCCTGGCCTGTAGTTCACTTTTAAGTTATTTTTTTAAAAGTAAAACATTTGAAGCAGCTGCCACCCAAGTGTAGAATGGATGAATAAATTGTGATATAATCATGGAATGAAATCAGACACAGCAACTGAAGTACGGCTAGGGAGAACAACACGGATGAATCTCACATGCAGGAGGCTGACCCAGACACACAAGAGCACATTCTGTGTGATTCTACTTATATGAAATTCAAAAAAGGCAAAACTCAGATAAAGATCAGAATAGTGGCTGCCTCTGGGAGAAGCCACCACTTTGGAACCATCCAGCAATTGCTCCAACAATCCCACTCCCAGGTATATGAGCAAAAACGTGTTTAATCAAAAAATATGTTCAATCATCTAGCTGAACACATTAGATCTGTGCACTTTGACTATAAGTTATACAGTAACACAATAAAAAAGAAAAGAAGGTGCCTACTGTGTTTTCTTTTTCCCAGATGACCAACTCATTTATCTGTTTTTTTTTTTTTTTCACTATTCTGCTGCTTTAGCAGATTTGAGGTGACTTACAAAGATTTGAGGTGACTTACAAAGGTGCATGGTATATTTATGAGGGAAGAAATCTGGGTGATGTTAAAATGAGGGCAGGAAAATCAGTTGGAAACCAGATGTGAGGATGATCTTCACTATTTATGTCAGGAAGTCCTGTGAACTTCCAATGGTGAACTGAACAGAGCTTCCTAGCAGTCAGTGCAAAGAAGAAACACAGCAATTCCACACCCCAGCGTTAACAGTCCTGTTGATCAGAAGCACAGGTAGTTTTGAGATCTAATAGAAACTTTTCCTGTATCATTTCAGAACAGGCAACTATGTGATCAAACCCCTTTCTATTTGTTTAAAACTTTGTCAAACATCCCAGGTTTGACCCTGGATGTCTGAATCCCCTCAGCCCACGTTTCCACCTATGCCATGCCCACACTGTCCCCATAGAATTTAGGGTGAGGCAGCATCCCAGTGATTGACAGGCTCCTCCCTAGACCCTGTTTACTTTCTTGGGTGTGGTTTGGGGGAAGCACTGTTCATGAAGGCTGGGTTTCTGTTCTTTGGGGTGCCCGGCTTGCCACTCTTGTTTCTGGAAGCCAGGCTGGCATCCTCAGCCCATGCATTGGCACTCAGTTCATCTTCTTCCCGGCTGGCACTTCTCAGTGGCCTCAATCCTTCCCCAGCAGCAAGTCTGCATGGGGCAGCTCCCCGGGGGCCGGACTCTTTCCTTTTTGGCATTTGGGTTAGTGGATCTTTCCACTTTCTGGCTCCACTTTTTGAATTGAATTCATATATTTTCCCAGTCACTAGTGAAGAAAAAAAATACAACAATCACATAAACCAGAAAATTCCAATGACTGTCTCTTCCCCCACTTCTACGCTGCTCTGTTCTGACTCCCGAGGGAAGATGAAGCTTACTAGAAGATGCAAATCACTGACACAGACAGCAGGCGGCTGAATATCACCGCAGTCTTCACCAGCCTGCCCTTGCCACCAGCCATGCTGCCCTGACCGCACAGGTAGCAAACAGCAAACCTCTCTGGATAGAAAGGTTTAGGAGTGTCTCAAGGACATCTCAACTGCAGGATGAGAAGGCCATGGAAATCTTGAACTCTGTGCAAGCTTCGGATAAATCAGGTTCAGTTTCTAATGGAATTACCCATTACTTTCTGATTTATTTTGTTTGTTTTAAAAGACCCCTGAATTCCTGCTACAAAAAGGAATTCATCAACTGAGAAGGAAAAGGCTGATTTTTATTTACGTTAGGTTAGCAGCAATTTTTAGACACACACACACAAATCTGGCCCCACTTGAGATGATGCAAGGAAGCCATTTTTATTGTGGCAGAGCCAGCAGTCCCTAATTGATTTAGGCCAGTTGGCTCATGTCCTTCATTTTTTTTTTTTTTTCTGTCTCAACTACACAAAAACACAAAAATCCTCCCCAGCCTTTTGCTTAGGAAGATCAGGTTTAAGGCAAGCCCTGGGTCCTTGCCATTCCCATACAGCATGAGTGGCCTCTCAGCTCAGGATCCCACCAGCACTTAAGCTAATGTGGGCACATTATGGTAACAAGCACCTAATAATAGAGGGAAATTTAATTCCAGCAGCAGCAGCGGCGGCGGCGGCAGACTCTTACTGGAGAAGAGCCATCCTCCTTAGGAGGAGAACCGGTGCCGTTTGCATGTGAGGGTGGCAGGAAGCCAACACACTTGCCTCCTGAATTTGGTTTCCTTCCCTTTATTCACGTCTATAATTGAGCCTTTGTAAGCGGAGGGATGAGTGTAAAGGAGCTAAATTTGGAGCTGATTTCAGGGGCTGATGAGAGCTCCGCAGGCCTGCTCTACCTTACGCTCATATTGCTGACCAAGAACAAATGATTGGCCCTGATCTAGGGAAAAAAGAAGCTACACTTGCCATGTCTCTGTATCTTCCACTACTAATAAAACGCCTTTAGAAGCATCCAGAAAGGATGTGGATGGAAGGGGGTACAGTGAGTACCAAAGAGCAGGAAAAAAATGTGGATTCCTGGATTCACCAGTTCTCTCAGCTGGTTTGGAATTTAGGAAGGGAGGCGAGAAAGAGGCATGGCCCTTGAATGTGAGCCTTTCGGTGGAGGCCCACGGAGGCCCCACGTCAGCGTGACCTGTACTTGAGCGGCTGCAAGCCAGCTGGGTTCACAGCTGATCTCACATTGTATTTAGCCTAGACGGGTCAGCACTGGAAAGACAACATAGCCAAACAGATTGACAAAATGAGTTAAAAGCAGGATGGATAAGGTCCTCCATGCTTCTACCAGTCTGGAATATGACAAGCATTCTTACGGTGGTATTGCCTCTTAATTACCTGGATCTATGGCTTCTCCATCAAAGACAGTGTTCATCTGGATAGTTTCCTAAGGAGAAGATAGAGATGGCATGGAACGCAACCCTACATTCCTTCTGCCTGGCAAGGCCACGCATCCTCACAACCCACGGGTCTTACCCAAAGCCTGCTTGACTTCTATGTCTTTTTTTTTTTTTTTTTTTTTTTTTTTTGAGTTGGAGTTTCATTCTTGTTGCCTAGGCTTGGAGTGCAATGGCGCAATCTCAGCTCACTGCAACCTCCACCTCCCGGATTCAAGTGATTCTCCTACCTCAGCTTCCCAAGTAGCTGAGATTACAGGCACCTGCCACCACGCCCAGCTATTTTTTTATTTTTAGTAGAGACAGGTTTCGCCACGTTGGCCAGGCTGTTCTCAAACTCCTGGCCTCAAGAGATCCACCTGTCTCGGCCTCCCAGAGTGCTAGGATTACAGGTGTGAGCCACTGCCCCTGGCCAGTTCTATGTCTTTAATAGGCACTGTGCTACATGGTGAGGACACAGCAATGAACAAGGCAGGCATGGCTACTGCCTGTACAAAGCTTGCCAACGACAAACAGGTGCTGCAATGCAGAGTGATAAGACTATGATGGGGAGATGTAGGGCGTAACGGGGCACAGGGAGGGTAGAGGGGACATTTAAACCAAGCTTGGGGGTTAAGGAAGCATCCTGAGTAAATCAAATCTGAGCACAGAAGGAAGAGTGAAAATGCCACACAGCACAGCTAAGACCTACACTGTGTCAGTGGATCACTGTCGTGTATTGTCAAGGTGGACACAGGTGAGCTCCTAGGTGTCCATACCTCTGGCCCTGGCACTCCGGCCCTCCCCTGTGGCCTCCCGCTGCCTAGGCCAATGCAATGTCACATCTGGGCCTCATCTGAGTCCTGGGCTCCATTTCTTTTCTCTTCCCTGATCTGTCCTCAGTGCCACCCTCCAGATCTGTGTAATGCACCTGTTCCTTGTCCCCATAGAAATACCCGCTTCCCTCACATACTGCCCTCTAGAGATGCCAAAGTCAGAGTCATTAGCACAGTAAAAAAGATTGTGTTTGGAGTTTAGCAAGCTTTCTAATCCCCAGTTTTTATCACTTAAAGGATCCTCGGGCCAGGTGAGGTGGTTCACACCTGTAATCCCAGCCCTTTGCGAGGCCGAGGTGGGTGGATCACCTGAGGTCAAGAGTTGGAGACTAGCCTGACCAATGTGGTGAAACCCTGTCTCTACTAAAAATACAAAATTAGCTGGGCGTAGTGGTGCATGCCTATAATCCCAGCTACTTGGGAGGCTGAGGCAGGAGAATCGCTTGAACCCCGGAGGCGGAAGTTGAGTAAGCCAAGATTGTGCCATTGCACTCCAGCCTTGTCTACAACAGTGAAGCTCCATCTCAAAAAAAAAAAAAAGAGAGTGAGGTAGAAGAGAGACAACTTTTCAGCTACACTGTAACATTTTGCATTTGTGTGACACTTAACAATTTTCAAACTGTTTCTCCATCTGTTATCTCAGGGCAGGTGTCCTCACCCCCATTTTACAGGTGAGAATCTAAATCTCAGAGAGGCCAAAGAAAGTGATAAGGCTAAGTAGCCAGAGCCAACCCCAGACCAGGCAGGGCCCTTTCTCTGTCACTTTTCTGTAAGGTAGTGGAAAAGCAAAGAAAATTTAAATCAGCCAGGCACAGTGGCTCATGCCCATAATCCTAGTACTTTGGGAGGCTGAGGTGGCTGGATCACTTCGGGTTGGTAGTTCAAGACCAGCTGGGCCAACATGGTGAAACCCCAACTCTAATAATAATACAAAAAATTACCTGGGAGTCGTGGCACATGCCTGTAACCCCAGACACTTGGGAGGGTAAGGCATGAGAATCACTTGAACCTGGGAGACAGAGGTAGCAGTGAGCTGAGATTGTGCCACTGCACACCAGTCTAAGCAACAGAGTAAAACTGTGTCTCAAAAAAAAAAAAGAAAAGAAAAGGAAAAGGAAAATATTTAAATCTCATTGGACGCTGAAGCACTAGTTTTGGTCTTTAAGCTTCATTCCCCCAACTCACTCTCCTAGAGAGCTGGTATAGATAATAAACACCACTACTCAATATTTATGAAATCCAGTTCTTCTGCAAATATATCAGCAGGCATGTTCAGTGGAGGGAACAAATTCTATCAGGAGCTCGTCACACAGTAGTCTGTTCCAGCGGCCAAACGCAAGCATCTCCCTGAATGATAAACATGACCACGAGGCTGTGGCAGGCCTGCCTTCCGGGGAGATGGGCGTCCCATCCCCCAGCGTCTATGCCAGGTGCCCCTCGCTGTCCATACTCACCACCACCACCTCTCTCTTTGCATTCTTCATTTCTGCAGAGAACAGAACAGGCAGAAGTTAAGATTCTTGGGCATTAAATTGACCTTAAAATTCTACCCCCACAATGATATTTCCCTAAATAGGCTTTGATCTCAGTCTTGCAGACACAGCAAAGAATTGTTCTGTCTGTAGATGTGTTTGTTGACAGCTTTCCATCTTCTCAGAAACAAATACATATATATATGTATACACACACACAATAATACACACACGATTTAATATTTTTTACTCTTTTTCTAGCTTATTATCAGTGGACCTAGGAAACTCGCTTTTAAATGGCTTTTGAGATAAGAAAGAAAGATTGCATTGGATATCTCTGTTCATAAGGCAAAGATTTTGTGCATTCATTCCCCACGCCCTTTAAATTTTATTTTATTTTGAGACAAGGTCTCACTCTTGTTGCCCAGGCTGGAGTACGGTGGCACAATCACAATTTGCTGCAGGCTTGACCTCCTAAGCTCAACTGATCCCCTCAGCTACCTCCCCAGTAGCTAAGACTACAGGCATACACAACCACACCCAGCTAATTTTTTTTTTTGAGATAGAGTTTGGTTCTTATTGCCCAGGCTGGAGTGCAATGGTGTAATCTCAGCTTACCGCAACCTCCACCTCCCAGGTTCAAGCCATTCTTCTGCCTCAGCCTCCTGAGCAGCTAGCATTACAGGCATGCGCGGCCACCACTACTGGCTAATTTTGTGTTTTTAGTAGAGATGGGGTTTCACCATGTTGGTTAGGCTGGTCTCGAACACCTGACCTCAGGTGATCTGCCACCTCTGCCTCCCAAAGTGCTGGGATTAGAGATGTGAGCCACTGTGCCCAGCAACCCAGCTAATTTTAAAATTTTTTTTCTACAGACAGGGTTTCACTCTTGTCCAAGCTGGTCTCAAACTTCTGGGTTCAAGTGATCCTCTAGCCTTGGCCTCCCAGAGTGCTGGGATTATATGTGTGAGCCACCATGCCTAGCTCCCAGTTCCTTTTAACAAGTGGAATTAGAGGCAGTTTGTGAAAATCTCACAAAATCATCTCTTTCAATATGATCAATAGCCATTATAATAAAATTTCTAAACTTGTTTAGATATGCCTTAAGCATGTCAGACACATGCCTGTGGAGTGTTTAAAGCCAGCGTTTTTTGTTTTAAATAAAAACACTTCCCATTTCTTTGTCCTGCCTCCCCCCATACCATAGAGTCTACTTGAGGCCATGCCAGGACACCTTATCAGGCCTGGAGCTGCTCGGATGGATCTTCCCAATCTGCCCACTTCCCTAAAGCCACTCAGCTCCCTTAGCCCATCTGACTGCCCCCATCTCCCCCTTCTCACTAGTCTCACTAACCTAAATAATTTGTGGAAATGATCAAATCCGTTGGAATGTGAGAATCAAGTATTATCTACTCTTTCGAAAGAGGCCTGTGTCCAGCACAAAGCATTGGCTGTCCTCAGGACACCCGTCATGGGCAGCAGTAAGCAGGTCCTGTCTACATTTAACACGTGGAGAGTTCTTTCTTCCTGTGCCATGTGGCGAGGGACAGACCTACATGTTTAGCTGAGCTGACTGGAGAGGGCTCTAGGTAAGACACAGGCAGGGGACCAAGGTGAGAGACCCAGGCAGGCCAAGGGCCTGTGCCCCCGCCCTTCCCCTTCTCCGGCTGCATCTGACTTCTGTTTCCTCCCATCCACGGAAGATGCAGCTGAAAACACTCTAGACGTGATCACAGCCTGATTCTCTGCCTAGTAGATGCCTTTTTATGTAGCACAACAGAGCAAGCAAAAAACAACAGATAAAGGAAACAGGTAGTGTACATACCTCCTTTCTTTGTCCTATGGGGGGAAGAAAAGAACGGATATTAATTCACCTGAAAGTATGCTGCACTGGTGCACAAATGACACCATGGGGTTCTTTGGGCAACTCTGCCCTTCGAGATATGGGGGTCGACTGAAAGAGAGGCCAGGGTTAGGGGCCAGAAAGAAGGCTAGACCACCATCCCTGCTTCAAAGAAAGCAGCTTCATCACTTTGGACTAGGGAGGTTCTGGGAAGCTGATGAGTTAAAAAGTATCACCTTATAAACTTCAGGGAGTACACTGTCTCTGATGAGAACACCTGGTGAGGACATGACTGCCCCAGTCAGACTGCCCAGCAAGTCTCCCTGCCCTATCCCTTTCTCCCCAAGAGCCAGCAGAGCAGAAAGCTCGGCTCACAGCAGGGAGGTTTGAGAGCTGGCAGTTACATTTTGGTTTCCTGTCACATGAAGAGCTGGACTTGGACCCTACGACCTTTCCCATGATCACCTTGGATTCTATACCTCTACACTCTAATTTTCTTCTTTGCTACTTAACGAAGGCTGGCTGTCATATGGTACAACTAATTTCCAGAGAGGCTGAGTCTGAAACTGGTTTTCTAGCTAGTTTTTTTTTTTTTTTTTTTAAGTCAACCATGTTGAAAACAATATTTACAACATAAGTTAAAAGAACCAGGTTCAAGGTGAACATTTAACATTTAACCATAAATTACATGAAAGTTGCAGTGTCTATTGGATTACTTCCTTCAAGAACTGCTATCCAAATCCCATTACAGTACACCACCATCCTTACAAGCAATTACTCTTTTAGAGCTGTTTTTTTTTTTAATCAATTTGTGAATAGAGTTCAAACAAAAATGCCTTCTTTAATTTCAGCAGATGCTCGAGGATTTCTTACCTTGAAGTCAAGGTTGCCAATAGCAACAAACTTACGTAATAAATATGGCAAAATGCAATGCATATCTTTATGCTAATGCCTTGTACTTTTATAGTCTTTCATCCATAGATTTTAAATTATTTGACAGGTAATAGTTAATATTTAAAGTACCTTTAGAAGGCACACATGTCTTATCACCCCCTCTTTTTGCCATTGAGAGATCCTAGAGCTTAGAGGTTCCAACACCTCAAGACGTTTGGGCATAGCGCTCAACTTAGAATCTAGAATCCTGAACTCACTGGGACTCATCTGTGAAGAATAAGGAAAGAAGGTTTTTAAAAATGACTGGGTAGTGTACTAAGCATTCACCCTATATCAGGAACGCAGCCAAGTGCTTTGCATTTGCTCATTTAGTTGATTAAGTTTACAAATAAGAAAATTCAAGCTCACAGAGGTGGTCACTTGCTCAAAGCCATATTCCAAGAAAATGGTAGAGCTAAGACCTGAGCCCAGGCCTCATCTAGCTCCCAATCTCAGGCTCAGAGCCATCTAAGCGGTAAGTTGTAAGAGCTGCCAAGAATCAAGAAGCCTGGCTCTAGGAGAAGTCTGTGATTCTTTGGTGCTCTCTTCACGTGGCTCTACTACCTCACTTTTAGCCAGTGAAAGACACATCGCAGATTGGCACAATAAGAGGTATATTAGTGAGCAGGTGAAAATTGGAAGGAGAGGCAACGGCCTGCATCTGCAACCCTTAAGACAGACTGAGCCCACACGCAAAGCACCAATAATTATTTAGTCACACAAAAACCCAGCTGAGTCATTGGAGACAAAAGCCTAATTCCCTTATTGGTTTTTCATGCTTGCTTTAATGCCATACTGTCCTTTAAATATTCTACCAATAAGGGCACAGCATATTCTATCACTATTTACAACAGGGCTTTTCTGAAGGTTTTATCCAGGGCAAGGTCATCAGAAGGTTGATGCCCCAGTGTCACTGAGAGCCCATCACGGACAGAGTAGGCTGCCAAGGAAAGCCAACAGGATGGTCTCGTGGCCTAGCAGGTGACAAAGAGGGTGCACCAGGACTGCGGGGAGCTGGAATCCCTTCCCCCATAGCTCCTTTTCCTGCCTTCACTCCAGGTAACCTGCCTGGTAGAGAAATCCTGATTCTCCATTTTTCCTTCTCCAGTCACCAGAAACCGCGTCCTAAAGGAGGTGGGGAAGAGGACCCAGCCCACTGGCGACTTACAGAGCTTTCTTGTTCTTCCCAGTCTTGCCGGCGCAGTGTCTGTAGATGGCTTTGGCCAACAGGATGACCAGGGACACCAGGAGACCCAGAAGCAATATGGAGCCCACAGTGATGACAAAAGGCACGTACCATGCGGACGGAGAGTAAACGTTTTTCCTCAGGACCTGGTAGGTGACCCTGGGCTTGAACAGCAGAGAGCAGGGAGGGTGAGTGGAGGGTGGTAGCGATTTTGCCGTTCAGCACTCTCTGTCGCTGTGTTTACTCCGCTCGCTGTTCTTGCTCTATAAATTGGACATCTGTGTGCTCTCAGTTCTTGCTGCTTCAACACATCACCTTATTTATAAGCTTTGCAGACGTCCATTAGATCAAACCCAGAAATTTTAGGGACCGAAAAGCAACTCCAGGCCTAATTTTATTCTCTGTCTTCCCCTTCCCCAAAACTAAAAAAAAGCCCATTGGCTTTTTTTGCTGCCATATCTGGGCATAACCCAGGGACGAATATAGCCATTGTCTCTCACCAAGAAGGCATAAGCCACATAAGTCTTTTTTTTTTTTCTAACACCTTGTAGGCTTTTCAGGGTTCTCTCAGCGACAAGCTGCCACTGCCAGAGGAGTGAGCTGACGGCACAGTGAAGCCTCAAGTTCAGCATCTGTTTCCTAGAGCTGGAGACAGATACCAAACAAGTTACAGAGGTTTCAGAAATGGAGATGTCACCATTGGGTCAGGCTCTGAGCCCAAGAAAGGTGGGAACTCTTCACTGAGGGGAGCCTACCCGCTCCTCCCACAAGGAGAGTCCTTAGGGTTGCCGGATGCTTCCATTCATTGGGGTTCTATTGACTCGAGCACAGGAGACAGAAGCACGAACCAGCTCCTGGAATAAACTCTGAGAAGAAGCTGGCCACCTCCATGGGGGGTTCTCTAAGGTTCTGATTACTTTCCTTCTGGCATGCTGCAGGTATGAGGGCTGCTGACCAGGGGTGCAGCTTCTATTAGGAGGAGGAGGAGGAGGAGGAAGAAGGGGGGCAGATGAGTTAGCAAGCCAGTTCCTCCAGGGGGCAGGGGAGATAATCCTGTTGTCAGATTCCAGGCTCTCCCTTCCCTCTACAGATCGATTCTGTGATAGCACCTGGTCATTTTCTTCCCAAGCTTTTCCCCAGTCTGTGTTTACTTTACCAGTTTGAATACTTGTTTGTAATCTATCTCCCCCTCCAGATCAGTGGCTCTCAGACTTTAATGCACATCAAAATTCCCTGAAAGGCTGATTAAAAACACAGCTCACTGGGTCCCACCTCCAGAGTTTCTGACCCGTTAGGTTAGGGGATGGAGTTGGGGATTCCAGGTTCCTGCATCCTCCCCTGGAGGTCATGGTGATGATCATGGTTGGGTGACCTATAACTTTAATAATCTATAGTGGGCCTGAGAATTTGCATTTCCCACCAGTTTCCAGGTGGTGCTGATTCTGCTGGTCTAGGGACGGCACTTGGAGAACCACTGGCCTATACCATCATCTTCCTGAGAGCAGGCATCATTTTTGACTTGTCTGCTAAAGTGACTGGCACACTGTAGGCATTAAATCGATATTTGTAGATTGGATGAACTGTTTTTGGAGTGGAAGTGGGGTGTAGGGCACAGATTGGCACGTGAGACTCTTCAAAAGATGTGGAAAAGAGCACCCGGCAGCAAATAATCTAATTTCATGGACATAGACTTGCAAAGACTCATCTGAACAAGCAGAGAGGAGTTGTGAAAGTAGCAGCTGGCAGCATGCCCATGAAAATCAGCTCCTGTGCCACAAACCACACAGATCTCTCACAGGTCTCTGCAAAAACACGCACTCTTCTCTACCAGAACAGGAAAAGTGAGTGGTTTCATGAGTCTGAGGTCTCACCAGATTTTTGCCACCCTGTAGCTACTTTCCCCCAGCCCATGGCTGCCATTTTTGGCAACATCGTAATACCTTAACCCTTTTCAGTCCACCCCACGTATCTCCCGGGGGGAAAGAAGTCTGTCAACGTGACTCACAAGGGAACGTGGCTGGGGATTCCAGGTCCTAAAGCCCTTACCCTGGGGCTTGTGGTGATGACTGTGGTTGGGTGCGGAATGACTTTAATACTCAGCGTCACTGTTCCCGTCTCAACGAGAGCCTCGGCTTGCTTCCTGCCGGACAGCAAGTTGTCATCCGTTACGTAGACAAGTAGCTTGTAGTCCCAGATCTTATCAAGCCCACCAGCATAGTCAAAGCGAGACGTAAGCAGCAGGCGTGTGACGTTGGAACCAGCATTGGGAGAGAAGGTGAAATGATTGTTGACGTTGCCTAATGAGATTTGACGCAGGGGTGTTGGTAAAAAGAAGCAAAGAGAGTAAGAAATAAAGGTTTAGAAGAAAACTGCATTCAATCGTTTTCTCAAATTTCCACACCTCAGGTGTAGACTATATCTCTGATATACCAGAGCTGGATTAATTATATGCTATAGGCTTTAACTGCACCAGAGATGGCATTAGTACAAAGAAACCCTTGCTCACCACCAGCGTGGCTGCAAACGAGGCTCAGTAGAAAAGACAATAGGACAACACCTATAGCCCAGGACCATCTTGCTGAGTATTAAGCAGAGACTTTGTAACCCTGCTGCAGCCCCTTCTGATTTATCATCCAGCAATTATTGGTAACAACATGTGTAATTCACACCTAGACAAATGAGTGGGCATCAAGAGGGTGGAATAGGTCACATCCCTAGCCATGGACCAAGTTCACAGCATGCTTTTCTCAGGACCTGGTGGGTCACACTGGTTATGGATGTCCCTGGAGTCCCCCAAAGGAAGGTGCCTTCTGGCTTTGCAGGAATTGCAGCCCCAGGTCCTCCTGAACCCACCCCACCACACCCCCAACCACACACGCAGCTCTGCTGGGGCTCATGGCTCAGCTCAGGGAGCCTGGGGCAGAGGGGCTGTGAGCCCAAGCACACGCCTGCTCATTCCTCCACTGGCTCCAGACTCATTACTGACTGAACACCAGTAAATGGAGCAGGAGATGATGCAATTTTTGTTCCCTTAGCAGCAAAATGTTCCATAAAGGCCTTAGGGCTCTCGGTATGGATTATTTCCATCTTCGGCAACTGCAGTCTCGAGGCAGCTTCTGCCCCTGGGTTTTGTGACACAGCCAGCTCGAGAGGCTTCCCACTGTTCGAGTTCCTGCTCCACAAAGGGCACAGCAGGCAGCAGGATGGGTTTTTACTCTCACGTGGAATTGTTCTGCTTGTTTGGGTTTAAATCTCTGGCCCCAGCACTTCATTAGATGAGCTATTTTGGTCTAATTTCCATTGAGGGGTGCTCTTTTTTCCCTACAATGGTATATTTTTAAAGAGAGAAGATGAATGGAGCAGAAGAGAATTCCTGAGGACACATTTCAAAACGCACTTAATCTATTTAATCTATTATTATCCAGAGAGAGGACTGGGATTCCCTGCCCCCACTACAAGCTTTCGGGAAAAGAGGTGGTCGAAAAGTTGGACTGAACTTTTTCTAATGATACCAATATGCTTTCTGACTCATACTGTAGTCAGGAATTGGGGGGTGGGGTTCACCCATTTCTTGGGCCTTTGGGCTGTTGCGTAAGGGGTCTGTAGCAGTGAGGAGAGAAAGGGAAACTGAGAGGAGTGCTAGGAAGCATAGGGGCCGCCAGACTCTGTATCTCTGCTTTCCTCATTCAAATACTTCCCCAGCACGCTGGGTGCAGTGATGCACACTCGTAGTCCCAGCTACCCGGGAGGCTGAGCAGGAGGATTACTTGAGCCCAGGAGTTCAGGACTAGCCTGGGCAACATAGTGAGACCCCATCTCAAAAAATAATGCCTTTCCCACTCCCATCCCATTTTGCCCAGATCAGTGTGTGAGCACAGACCCCCACCCTGGACAACTTCAGGGTCCTCAGAGACAGGGCCACCGTCATTGATGCCGAGTGCTATACCTGCACCAATGGAGTAACGGAAAGATCTGGGGCTGGAATCGAGGTCAGTACACGTCAGCTTGAAATTCCGAATATTTGTGCCAACTTTCAGATCCACTGGGAGGGCCAGGAAATAAGAGTTTGGAGTACAAATTGGCTTTTCATCATTTTCTTCAAGGATGTTCACGGTAACCTAGAGCAGCAAGAAGGTAGGTGGTCATTCTCAACAGCTAAAACTCATTGCGTGCTTACTACGTGTAGGCAGTTTTCAGGCTAAGTACTTTTCCTAGATTAGCTCATTTAAACTCACGTGAGATAGATGACATGATTATTCCCATTTTATGGATGTGAAAATTGAGGTTTAGAGAGACTAGGTAATTGACCTAAGATCACTCAGCTAGTGAATGGCAGAGCTGGGACTTGAACTCAGGTCTGTCCTACTCCAAATCCTATGTTATTAAATCCTACACTGTGTGCATGTGTGTGTGCACATGTATACATATATCTCACCCTCCCCACACACATGCATGCGCCTGGACACATAGGCTCACTGGCAGATGATACTGAATTGTTTTTCCAGGAAGGTGCAAGTTTACGGTGACTCCATGGGCTTCCTTGCCTGCTGCTGCTTGTGAATTGGAAGGTTTTTTTTTTTTTTGAGACACAGTCTCACACTGTCACACCCAGGCAGGAGTGGTGCTGTGGTGCAATCTCAGCTCACCGCAAACTCTGCCTCCCGAGTAGCTGGGATTACGGGCGTCCGCCACCATGCCTGGCTAATTTTTTGTATTTTTAGTAGAGATGGGGTTTCACGATGTTAGCAAGGCTGGTCTCGAATGCCTGACCCCCTCCGCAGGCCTCCCAAAGTGCTAGGATTACAGGTGTGAGCCACCGCACCTGGCCTATAAATGGAAGTTCTTTAACTCCGGCATACACAGAAATGGCTCTCAAGCCTGGCTCTGCTTCCTTGGGCCCACTTCAGATTAAATAGATTGGACTCTCTGGAGGATGGGGCCCAGGGCCTTCGTGTATGTTCTCCAGCTGATTCCAGTATACACCCAGGGCTAAGACCCACTGGGACAGAACAAGCAGGCCTGGTTAAACCGGGATCTCATCTGTAATCTGGACTAATAGCACTGTACTAAGCCCTAGGGCTAACCTGCCACAAGCAGGGGCCAGCCTATTCTCTTTCATCGCTGTCTTTTATGCCTGGTGAATGGGAATATAGCCTGGGATGCGTGCCAGCACAGAATTGTACAATGTCAGCCCCGAAAGGGACTTGCGTGATCATTTAGTTCAGCACCCTTTTTTAAAAGCTTATGAATTTTGAGTCATATTCATGCTACCTTTGAAATTTGGGATTTCAGCTATTTCTGAGCCTGGGGATAAATTGAAATGTTCATTCTAGTTAGCTCCCAAAGTGAAGTCCATTCAAAAAAAAACAAAAAACAAAACAAAACACCAGCATAACAAACACTGCAATTATCTCCAACTTTCCTTGGGTAGCAAGGAAAAAGCCAAATCTTGCACATCATTAAAAGCATCATCCCATTAATTCAGAGCAAGCCATTGGAGGAGCCAGACTGTTCAGGCATTGGATCATCGGGTGACTCTTCATTTAAGAGACGGAGAAATAGGGACATGGAGATAAGCATTGCTCAGACTCCCTCGGAAAATTGGGATCAAAGTTGAGAAATGAACTCGGTCTCCTGACTCTGAACCAATCTTCGTCGATGACTGCCTGCTGCTGAGAGTTCATTTTGCCTTCATGCTTTCTTGCTTTACTAATGGGAAGGACCAGGGAATAGTTTGGTTTTTGTGGCTGTCATGTTGCCCTTGGATCATCCAAACCACTGACAACACGGACCTATTAGACCCTTGCAACTCGAGGTGTGGCAGGGAACCAGCAGCACTGCCCCAGTTGGAAGCATGGCAGAAATGCAGAATCTCAGGCCCCTGATGCACTGACTCTGAGTCTGCATATGACAAGATTCTCAGCATCAAAAGTTGGGGAGCAGCTAGCAGCTCAGCAATGGTTTTAAGATCTACCCCATCTGCTGTGTGTGGGGGCAGGGTAGGAACACGGCATACCTGCTCCTGGGGAGGAAATGCGTAACTCCAAAACCACACTCAGCATCTGGGCAGTGCACATTTCACCGCCATCCTTCAGTGAAGGCAAAGTGGGATTTAAAGGGCCACAAGAGGAACTTCATCCCACAAAGTGGCTTTATGGGTCCACCAGATATTCCAGTATCTGGCCACCAATTTCAGTGCTTCTTTCTGTCACCCACAAACTTAGGCCTCAAAAATATGTGGGGTTGGGCACAGTGGTTCATGCCTATAATCCTAGCACCTTGAGAGGCTGAGGCAGGTAGATTACTTGAGGTCAGGAATTCGAGACCAGCCTGGCCAACATGGTGAAACCCATCTCTACTAAAACTACAAAAATTAGCCGGGCACGTTGGCGCACACTTGTAATCCCAGCTACTTGGGAGGCTGAGGCAGAAGAATCACTTAAACTCAGCCGAGGAGGCAGAAGTTGCAGTGGGCCAAGATTACACCACCATACTCCAGCCTGGGCAACAGAGTGAGACTCTGACTCAAAAACAAGAAAAGAAAAGGAAAATGTGGATCTTTATTTCCCAGGGCACCTTTACTTGTTTCCCCTCACGTCCACAGGATGTGCCCTGGGAAGCTTCCTCACTGCCGCATCCACACTCTGGGGGTGCCAGAGAGGCCCTAGGTCAGCCAGTTGGGTTAATGGGACTATACCAAGCAGCCCCACTCACAGTGACAGAGCTTGTGTCCTCGCTGTTGGTGGCCTGGATTCTGAGAATATACACGGGGGTTGTTTCATAGTCCACTTTAGTTACCAGCTGGAGTTCTCCTGTCTTGGGATTAATCCAAAATACGTTCGGGTACTGGAGGCTGGCCCCTCCGGTGGAGATGGAGTACACGAGGCTGCTCTGAGGGAGGTCTTTGTCAGTGGCTCGCACCTGTCCCACTCGGGTTCTGGCTGGAGGAATAAAGTAACTGCAGTAAGTTCGGCTTTTAGCGGGTAGGGAAGGATGACCCAGGAACAGATGTCCTCACTGCCGTGGGCAGAAGGACTTCTGGAGGCCTCCTTGCTGTCCAAACTCGGTTTTCTATCTTCAATTCTACTAAATTGAAATAATGCTGACCAGCACCCACCAGGTAACTGACCCTATGATCCAAGCAGTCCTGTGAGGTGTACTAGACAATTTATGCCCCTCCCTTTTTTTTTTTGAAATGGAGTCTCACTTACTCTGTCTCCCAGGCTGGAGCTCAGTGGTGCGATCTCAGCTCACTGCAACCTCCACCTCCTGGTTTCAAGCAATTCTCCTGCCTCAGCCTCCCAAGTAGCTGGAATTACAGGTGCCCGACGCCAGGCCCAGCTAATCTTTTTGTATTTTTAGCAGAGATGGGGTTTCACCATGTCAGCCAGGCTGGTTTCGAACTCCTGACCTCAAGGGATCCACCCGCCTCGGCCTCCCAAAGTGCTAGGATTATAGGCATGAGCCACCTCGCCCGGCAATTTATGCCTTTATATAGACTCCAGGGACACCAATCATTTTGCTCTCATAAACAACAGAGCCAAGAACGTGTATCCTCACACAAACATCTCTTTGCAGCAGTGTTGTCTAAAAGTCCTGTGTGTTTCAATTTTCTGTAATGAGCATGAGTTGCTCTTATAAAAATAAACAATTTTGAAATAATTTCACAATTGGTGATTACAGATTATAGATTTTTAAATCCTCTTCCATTTTGCTAATTTTACAAATACTGTTGGTGGGGTTGCTAGCATTCTGGCTTGCTTGTTTTATAGGAGTTCCTTCCCATAAATTACATTCCTCAAGGGCAGAAGCCTTCTCTTGTTCAATTCCAGATCCCCAGCACTAAGTGTGTGACCCAAAGTAGGTGGTCAAAGAGAACTGTAGTAAGATCTGTGAGTTCACAGAAAGCCTGTTCCTTTCTGATTTGCTATTCCCTGAATAAAGTATAAGAAATTAAAAGCATTTTCTTTGGACCTTCATTTTGCATTTTGCTTGAAAACTTAATGTCAGGAAATGGAGACCATCCTGAAGAGAATGGATCATTTGAGAGGGAGTGTTTTGGTTTTGGTCTGATTTGTTGTTGTTGTTGCTTTTAATATGAAAAAAGTATCCATGATCTAAAGATGAAAGGCTGTGGGAGTCTATTACACGAGAGCATTTACAGTATTATCTTCAAGCTGAGAGGGCGAAAGAGAGGCAGACAGTGAAGCTGGAAGTGGGGAGTGAGTCTTTTCCTTAATGGGGGAAGAGTCTGCAAAAAGCAGGGTGTCGTAAAGGGTAGAAAAGAAGGCCTTCAGTGAATCCCAGCAGGAGAGAGAGAAATCGTCTTTATTTTGTTTGTAAATGAAGGAAATACAGAAATGGGAAACGTTTTCTCTGTTGTTAAATTTCAATTCTGTGGGTGAGCTGGATAAAACTCACAGTGGAGACCAAGAGAAAACTTAAGCTTCGAAAAGGGAGGGTTAGTGGAATTGGGCAAACAGACAAGGAAGCAATCAGAGGCTTCCGAGAAAGGCAGTTTCATCAGCAGTTTTCAAAAGTCCAAGTTTCACCTGAAGGGCTCCTCAGCAGCAAGGAAAATTTAAAAGAAATAAGAGGTGCAATAAATACTAATCAGCTGTGAATCACTGTGCAAAACAGCACACGAGGCCTCCAGAAGGGAGCTTTCCACTCCAAAGAACACGCGTTTGGACAGAGTCCATCAAGAGCACTGTGGTCTGTGACTTTGTGACTTACCCGGTCTTCTTTCTGACACAGAAAATACGTAGGATGGCCTATCAAAAATGAGAGGAAACTCATTTTCTGGGCTTGTTAGGATATAAATGTAGATGTTATCTAAAAATGGAAATAGAAACACATTTAATCACAAGTTCATGCTCATCCATTTGTTTATTCAACATCTTTAAAGACTCTCCTGTGTACAGGCTCTGCGCATAGGGGATACCAGGTGACCAAGCTCTGGGAACTCCTGCCTTTTAGATGCTGAGGGTGGTCACCCTTTGATAGGCACATGAGCACACAGGGCACTACAGAACGCAGAGGAGAAGCAGCTTCCAGGAGAAAGTAAAGCTGAACCTTACAAGGATAGAATTAGACAAATGGGCCAGGGACGAGATTGGCGGGGCGTTGTAGGCATATGCAAAAATGCCAAGGTATAAAACCACATAATTCATTCAGGAAAACTTCAAGCTGTTTGCCCAGTTGGGAAAAAATGGTGGCTTGGGCCAAGCGAGGTGGCTCACGCCTGTAATCCCAGCACTTTGAAAGGCCAAGGCGTGCAAATCATGAGGTCAACAGTTTCAGACAAGCCTGATCAACATGGTGAAACCTTATCTCTACCAAAAATAAAAAATGAGCTGGGCGTGGTGGCACGTGCCTGTAATCCCAGCTGCTTGAGAGGCTGAGGCAGGAGAATCGCTTGAACCTGGGAGACAGAGGTTGCGATGAGTTGAGATCGCGCTACTGTACTCCAGCCCGGGTGACAAAGTGAGTCTCCATCTCAAAAAAAAAAGGTAAGGCGGGGGGGGCTTTGAGGCAGATGACAGAAGGTGAAGCTGGAGAATTAATTAAGGTGCAACAAATGATGACAATTCTTGTATGCCAGGCCCAAGAGTTGGAACTTGAACTTGACAGCTACAGGAGATGCTCAAAGGCTTTAACCAAGGAAGTAATATGATGACATTTGCATTTCCTGAAAAATCATTGACAGAAATATGGAGGATGCATTGGAAAGTGGTGAGACTGAAGGTAGAGAGACCCTTCAAAAACCCTTAAGTGTTGTAATTCAGTCCCTGGGTGAGAGCAGTACTAGTGAGATGGGGGACCTAGTACAATACCTAGTACTGCCCAGCAGAGTTTAGTCATTGATAAGAAAGACACTCACGAAATAAAACAAAATGATACTTGCTTTTATAGTAAGGGGCCCCCACATCCTGCACCTGGATTATCACCACGTATTTATTGCCGGCTGCTAGATTACTTGGATTTTCATAATCTAGATCACCAATCAGCTAGATTAAAACAGAGATAGATTATACAGATTAAACAATCCTATTTATTGGACTGAGAGAGACATTTTCATGTATTGCTACTGGATATGTAAATTGGCAAAACACTTTTGGAAAACACTTTGCCCATAAAAATGAGGAGCTTTAAAAAGTTACGACCATACGTTTGCTCACTGCTAGCGAACTTGTTGAAATAATTTACCAGGAGAGAGAATCTACGTACAAATATGTTCATTAAGCACTAGTGCTCAACAGCACAGGATCACAACTTCAGATTCATTGAAGAAAAGCACAAAATTGAATCTTATATGTAGGGCTGCTTCATCATAGCAGTACCTCCTTACTATCTGTGGTTTTGCTTTTGACAGTTTCAGTTACTTACAGTCAACCGCAGTCTGAAAATAGTGAGTACAGTACTATAAGATATTTTGAGAGAGAAAAACACATCTACATAACTGGTTTTCTTTATTCTTCTTTAGAGATAGAAGTCCCCTTCATTGCCCAGGCTGATGTGCAGTGGCTATTCACAGGTATAATCATAGCTCACTGCAGCCTCAAACTTGTGGCCTCAAGTGATCCTCCCATCTCAGCCTCCCAAGCAGCTGGGACTGTGGGTGTGTACCACCATGCATGCCACATAACTTTTGTGATAGCATTTTGTTATAATTTTTCTATTTTATTGTTCATTATTATTGTGAATACTTACTGTACCTAATTTATAAATTAAACTTACTATAGGTATCCATGTATATAAGGAAAAAACATAATGTATGTGGGGTCTGGTATTGTCTGTGGTTTCAAGCATCCACTAGGGGTCTTGGAACATATCCCCTGTGGGTAAGGGGGCAATACTGTATTTAAAATACTTATGCCGGCTGGGCACGGTAGCTCATGCCTATAATTCCAGCACTTGGGGAGGCTGAGGTGGGAGGACTGCCTGAGACCAGGAGTTTGAGACCAGCTTGGGCAATATAGCAAGACCCTATCTCCACAAAGAACTGAAAAATTAGCCAGGCATGGTGGTGCACTCCTGTAGTACCACCTGCTAGGGAGGCTGACATGTGAGGATCACTTGAGCCTAGGAGTTCGAGGCTCTGGTGAGCTATGATTGCCACACTGCACTCTGGCCTGGGTGACAAAGTAAGATGTAGTCTCTTAAAAAAAGAAATAAAAATAAAAAATACTTATGCATATATGTAGAAAATACACATAAAATATATCTACAGAAAAAAGACAAGAGGGAATTGTACCAAACTATTAACACTGATTAGCAGTAAATGGTGATGCTTTTTGTGCTTTTACATTTTCTACAGTGAACATGTATTAATTTCCTAAACAGAAAAAAATAGAAACCATTTTTAAGATGGTACTATGAATAAAGTGGGTGAGATGTTCTTGGGGGTTGAAGAAGGGTTCGGGGTGTGAGGTGGAGAAGCAGCACGGTGAGGGGAGCGGGGCAGGCGGCTGGCTTCCCTCCCTGTGGCTGCTGCTTTCCCAGCCCTTCCGTTTTTCTCTTCTCCTTCCCCACCACCCTCCAACAGAAGCTCTGAAGGAAAGGTCTAACTCAGCTCATTGGGACCCACTTTTCATGCCCATCCTTCTTCCAATGCAGCGTTTGTCCCTTGGAGTTGCCAGCGAGGGGGCTCCCTGTACATCCTCGCTGTCTCCCTCTCCTCTGGTCTCCAGTGGTTTTACAGTGTGGAATTTATCTGCACACGCTCAAGGCCCGGCCCTGCTTTCTCTCACCTCACACCTCTATGGGCCAGGAGTGAGCACTCCAATAAACAAAAGTGCCTGAGCACAGAGGGCACTGACATGTCTGTGAAGGCATACTAAGCAGGCACACGCACTGCGTGCTACCCGAGAAAGAATCCAGTCCTTAGCAGCCCGGGCACAACTATGTGTAACCAACGATTCCTGAAACGGGGTAGAATAAAGAGCGAATGGAGAACACAGACTCACTATTAAGCCTGTCAGTTACAGTCACTCTGAGAGGGGGTTACCTTGGAAATTTCTCTCTATGGGGCAGCAAAAGCATGATACATGTTGGACCAATTCCCGATGCCCTTTTAATGATGCAACGACCATTAACTGACCACAATTTTCCCAGAGCCAGCTGGATCCTGTAAAAATCTGCTGCCGCTCCCCACTCCAGATGGCGTGGTGAAGTTGAATCTGTTGTTTGGTGCCTCACTGTCATCATCAAAGCAGAAATTGTTCAGGTCAAGAAGCAACGTCCCGTTGGCTGTTCTTTCCGGCACCATAATGCTGGTGAAAAGACACAATTCAGTATTTCCCCCAACAAATGGTGATCGAGTGTTTCTTCTCACATGGGTCCTGGGCTAGACCTCTCTGCTTTCGCTGCAATTCAAAGTCAGTCCGTGGTCATGGCAGTCACCTCCTAACTGGTCTCTCTGATTCTGCCCTTGCTGCCTTTTGGGCTATTTTAAACACAGCAGCCAGAGGGATCCTGGTAACATAGTGTCAGATCATGTCACTCCTCTGCTCCTAAGTCCCAAATGGCTCCTCCTTTCACATGAAGTCCCACCTTTGATCAGAACCCTTCGTGACGTGCCCACCTTTTCCTCTCTGAACATCGCTCACTAGTTCTTCTCCTTGTTCACGCTCCTCCTGCCACTCTGGCCTCCTGGTGCTCCCTGAACTCTTCAAGAGGTTCTGGGCTCAGTGTCACTGCACTCGCTGTGGAATCCTCTCTCCACAAATACCCACGTGGCTCCCATTTAACTTTCTTTCATCTGTCTAATCAAATGTCACCTTATCGGTGAGGCTATGCTATCTAGAATGGCAGTGGTCTCTGGCTGGTGCTTCCTTTCCTGTTCCCCTCTTTATTTTTAATTCTTAACACACATCATCATCTGATACACCTTTCTGTTTATTGTCTATTTCCTTCCTAGAAAGTAAACTCTGTGAGGGCAGGGATCTTTGCATTTTTCTTGGCACACTCAATAAATATTGGTTGAGTGAATGAAAAATAGACTTATGAGACTAGCACAGTCATGAAGAAGAATATAAGAAAAATACAAATTTTACCTCCTGCCTGAAGGAGTTTCTAATTAGGCTAGGGCAAATCCCTGTACCCCTTGTCTCCCATGCTTTGAAGATTGAGAATTCCTTGACTTGTGTTCTAGTGGCTTTAATGGACTAGAAGGGCCTCCTAACACCATTATATTATTCATTCAAAAGAGGTTTATTAATGGTCAAATTTGGGCGTCTCAATCTCAGTAGACTCCAGGGTTTAGGCAAATAACACAAATGAGTAAAGCTACCCCCAGACTTAGAGCCTTCTAATGAAGCCCAGCTTTTGTGGGAGGTTCTGAGGAAGACTAATGAACACCTTGAGGTTTCAGTTCATTGAAGGCCTTTCTCATGTCTCCATGTCTCAGTTTCTCCATCTATAAAATGGACATAAATTATATCAATTCGTTTTTACTACAGAACGCACCATCCCCAAACTGAGTAAATTAAAACAACAAGCATTTATTATTTCTCACAGTACTATAGGTTTTCCCCCAGTCCTTCTGGTTTCAGTTTAGCTCAGCTGGTCTCCGTGATCACTGACAGCTTGGGTGGGGCTTAATGGTCTAGGATGGACTCACTCACATGCCTGGTGGTGGGAAGGTACTTGGTTTCTGTTTCTTGTTGTTCTTGTCTTCTGGAAGGCCAGTCTAGGCTCATTGCACGGAGGTCTCTGGCTTCCAAAAGTAACAAGAGAGGGCATGTTCCAATGCACATGCATTTTTCCAGCCTCTGTTGTATCATGTTTGTGAATGCTCCAGTGGTCAAAGCAATTCAGGTGGTCAAGCTCAGATTCAAGGAGACCCATCTCTTCTTTTGAGACGGAGTTTTGCTGTTGCTGCCCAGGCTGGGGGACAGTGGTGCAATTTCAGCTTACCACAACCTCCGCCTCCTGTGTTCAAGTGACTCTTCTGCCTCAGACTCCCAAGTAGCTGGGATTACAGGTATTTGCCACCACACCCGGCTAATTTTAAATTTTTAGTAGAAATGGGGTTTCTCCATGTTGGTCAGGCTGGTCTTGACTCCTGATCTCAGGTGATCCGCCCGCCTCAGCCACCCAAAGTGCTGGGATTACGGGTGTGAGGCACCGCGCCCACCAAGACCCAACTCTTGGTGGAGGGAATAGCAAAATCACATTGCAAAGGAGCATGCATACAGAGCAGGCAGGGAGGAATTTGTGGCTTTTTTTCTTTTTTGTTTGGGCTACCTATCTCAATCATATTTGCCTTGGTAGAATTTCTTACAAAAATATATCGTGGCTGTCATGAGAGTGTGCCTGGAAGACCTCCAACCACGAGCGCATAACTGACCATCGGCTTCAGCTGCTGGGCTCTGAAATCCACCACTGTGTTTGCAGTGAGGCCACGTACCAACAACTGGTCATGGCAAAGATACTAAGGTTTATTCCTATCCCATGTCAGCTGACACTGGCTCCAGGACCCCCAGTGGCCTAGCTGAACACTCCTTAGACGACATGGCAGCCTAGAACATGTCCATCTACCTTCCCTCCCTCTTTTCTTTCACCCAGGTCAGCCTTGCATGATGATCTGATGACTTGCCCAGGCTTGTCCATCTCTCTCCCCATTTTCTGCCACAGGCATCTCCCCTAATAATAGCCTTGCACATTTAATCCCATCTTAGCATCTGGTTCTTGGAGCACACAGTTCTCCCTGCAACCAAACTCTGCCCCCTTCTATGTTCCACATCCTCTTTTCATGGCAGATAAAATGGGCTCTGGGCTCAGTGCAGACGGCGCAAAGTCTGACAGCAAGGATGGTCATGGGCCACTGAGGATAACAGGTTTGCTGGCTGGAGTGAAAACAGGCATAAGGGAGTTCCACGATGCCTCATTGGCAAAGATCACCTCTGTATTTCAGCAGGATTGGAGTCTGAGCATTCCTGCCTTGATTGCACAATGTGGTTGCATTCATAGGGACTTAGAATAGATACCAACTTACTCAACACCAGCTTCATGCTGTGTCATACCAAGCACTTTAAAAACACTATCTCAAGCCTGGCGCAGTGGCTCAAGCCTGTAATCCCAGCACTTTGGGAGGCCGAGGCAGGTGGATCACGAGGTCAAGAGATCGAGACCATCCTGGTCAACATGGTGAAACCCCGTCT